ATGAAGTATTCTTCCTGAAATTTATGCAGAGCTTAGTTTGATCTGCCTTCTCACCTGTAAAACCCTTTGGTTCTTCTGCAAGCCCTTGAAACAATAAAATTCCTCTAAACCAAAAAAATAAAAGAACTGCTTTTTGAGCCTACATAATTTAAATACGCGCCAGAACGTTCTCACTATAGGCTGCACATTAAGGTGTTTGTAATATTCAAACCATGACGCTAGCTTAAAGTCCCATTCTGCATAAGAAAATTGACACAGCCACCTTGAAGGCTGCCTTCACTTACCTTGGAGAAATTAAAAGGGCTACATCGGTAGCAGCCGAAAGCGAGTGTTATGTTCAAAATCATTTGGCCTTAGTCCCGCTGCTACGTAACAGACCTCAGTAAATAGGAAGAAGCAGATCTGCTGTCGATGTATAAAGCACTCGTGGCCTTAAATGAAAAGAAAAGAAATGAAGCTCATCCTGGCCCTGTACTCTGCATGAAGGCTATTGAAGGTGGAAGCGGCGGTGGCCGTGAATCATTTGGAAGCTTTTTGTGGTAGCCCTTCTCTACCATACTCACATAAAGATGGGAATTGAGCAAAGTCGTGATCCTCTCCCCCATTTTTATTCATAATTGACAGATCCCAACCAGCCTAAGGACTGAACAGCTCTGAAGTGAGAAAAAGGTGGCAAAGGAAAACTAATGTCGTACATCACATGCATATCCGAGCATAAATACTTGTAAGCTGTTGGCACAAGAAAGTTATCCTAATCTTCCCATAGGTCGTTGCAAATTTTATAATCAATTTATCAACGAGATTTTGATTGCTTTCTTTCCTTTTACTCAAAAGATATATAGAGATTTTCAAACAAAAGGAGGTCCCATTGTATTTGTTAATAGCATCTTAAAAGTTGTTGTTGTATAACAGCATTAAAAAATGTAGGCGCATTACGAGGACACTAAATAATCTGCACTGCCCTACAAGACGTCTGTAAATTTGCCCTTTCCAGCTAACCAATCACCGCCAAGCAGAAAGAACAGTGCTCACTGTTAACCAATCAAATGGCAGACCATACGAAGTCGCGGTCGCATAAACCTGTGACCCAGAAAATCTGTGAGTGTTGCGAAAAATGACTGACCGAAGGCAATCGGTGGCGCCCAGCACCACATTCCGATGGCGTTCCCGATCCATGGCGAGTGATGACCAGGAGAATGTGGAGAGAGACCAGAGAATGTTTCCCAGTGCTTTTCGCACAGCCAGTGTTGCTACCAGCCACCTACGTCGGATGACCAAGATGTTTAGCATTGATAAGACTCGGGAAGTGATTCGCACTGCCCTGGAGGACAGTGATCATGCGGAATACGTAAGACTGGCCTGTGAGCATGAGGAGCTCACAAAGGAGGTGAAACAGTTAAGGGGATTTGTGATGGAGCTTTGTGAACGCTATGAGGCTGCAAGAGCAATTGATCCATTGCGACGGTACAAGCGAATGCAATCGATGGCAAAGACGATTGTGCTACAACTAAGAGTAAATGATCCCTCAGCTGCATCGTCTGGGGGCTACAGCGCTGTCAACGACAGTGGGTATGATACCTTTGATCCGAGTGCGGTTGGCGCTAGTGCTCTTATCGTAGGAGATGTCCTTCAATCCTCTGTAAAGCAAAAAGAGATGAGGCTAAAACATGAGAAAATGGCTCGTGGTACGTATTGAGCTTTGATGACTTAGTATGCTTTCACGTGCTAAACACTGCTACAGTGAGTGTACAAAACTCGCTCAAAAATGCAGCTTTATGGCATTCTGAGGGATTTTGGAACAGATAAGTCCTTGATACTCCCCATTTGTAGTCGAAGCTGTATATTCGCATTCATGTATCCGTTATTTTTACTGTTTGATTGCTTACTTAATTTTGGGACGTTGAAAGTGTTGTATGCACGATTAATAACTTGACTAGCTTTAGTACGAAACCTCAATACACGAAAGCGCCAAAATGTGGGAGCAAATGATTAGCTAAGTGTTTAAAATTGATCTGAGCCATGCCCAAGGTCGTAATAAGTCAAAGTGGAATGACAGAACAGGCATTACAAACAAGTGCGAGACCGTTTCCGCATCGTCCAATTGGAA